CATCATTAAAGTTCTTGAAGCAGAGGACTTTAATTGCCTGCTGGGAGTCAAAAGCTACTTTATATGATTTTGCTCTAAAAGATTATTAAAGTAAATAAATGTAAAAAAAAATGCAATTTCTAAGCTATAATTAAATCACTCACCTTTAAATAAATAGATAAATAAATAAATACTTTCACCTTTAAATAAATAAATAAATAAATACTTTCACCTTTAAAGAAACACATAATACTAAAGTTGAGCCATCAATAACAATGAATAGTCATGATGAAGAAAAACAAAAAGGTTGATAAATTGCAAGAAAAAAAAAATTGAAAAAAAAAAAAATTACTATGACAAAAGCAAAAGTTGGAAATATGTGATGAGAATAAGTTTTAAAATTAATAAATTTATTTAGAGATGATTGAAATTAGGGATGTAAACGAGCTCAGGCTCGGCTCGTGTTCGTCTTGTTCGATATTAGCTCGTGTTCGAAATCGGCTCTTGTTCGAAATAGCTCGTGAAGGGTGTGTTCGTGTTCGGCTTGAAATTGGAAGAGATTGTCGGAAGAGGAAGGGGAAAAGGGAGACAAACAACAAACCCTAAACTCTTGCCGCCGAAACCCTTTCACGATTTTGAGAAGAGAAGAAGCGACGCCATCGTCGACTCGCCAAACGTCTTTCACGATTTTGAGAGTGAGGAGAAGAGTCGCCGACTCGCCGAGCGTCTTTCACGATTTTGGGATTTGAGAAGAGGGAGAAGCAGCCGAACCGCCGCGATTTTGAAAGGAAGGAGAAGAGGCGGAACTCGGAAGAGAGAGAAGCAGCCGAAGCCTAAATTTATACTTTTATATTATATTATATTAAATATAATATTTATTAATATTTTGTTATATATTATAATTTATAGAATTTAACTTTTTAAAATTTGATAATTTTTTTTATTTTAAAGAATTTTAATTAATTATAATTTTAATTTTTAATTTTATGAATATGTATTACATGCGTGTGTGTGTGTGCGTGTGTGTGTGTACATATATATTTCTTTTCGAGCAAATTCAAGCCGAACATGAGCGAACAAATGTTTGTTCGTGTTCGGCTCTTTTATATTTCGAGCCTAATGAGCCGAACACGAGCTATTCCCCTAATTGAAATATATGAATGACCAACTAGCTTTTGTATTATTTGCAAATCTCAAAACAAATCCAAATATTACGGGACTGTCAAACAACTTCATGCTTTCTACTTTTACTTTTATTTTTATTGTGTTTTGATCTTATTTTGTTTTCTTTTTTAAGAAAATGTGTTTAATACTGCTATGATTTATATGTTCTTAAACATAAAAATAATAATACATATTTGAATGAGTATTTTTTTTTAAAAAAATTATAATTTTTATAAAATAGTTATGTCTACGCGCGCTCCAGTATTAAGTTCTGACGTCCATGACATATACGACGTTTTTCTTGCTTCACCCAGCACAAAGTATTATCCATGGGCAAGCAGCGGTTGTAGCTGGGGGGGTGCGGTGATGGTGCGTAGCGGCGATAGTCGGCGATCGACGGTGGCGGATGGCGAGGGCCGGTGGTGGCGGATGGCGACCAGTGATCTGCAATGGGCAGGGGCGGGGGCTGGCAACCGGTGACTGGCTGTGGCAGCCAACAACAACAGACGACCACGAGCTTCGGTCTGCGACCGACAAACGAAGGAGTGCGGGGACTGGCGGCGGTTGGTTGAGCCTTGCACATGTAATACTCAATGGTAAAATATGACGTGGGTCATTCGAATGTCCCGATGACGACGTGAATTGCACCACTTCACTGTGCAACCACATCGTTGTGCACAACTGCGTGATGCAATCCACACAGTCATACCAACATAAGTTCATAAAATATGTGTATAATATTTTCTGTCTTCCCAGCCCATAAAAGTTAGAAATACGAAGAAAATTTACATTCATAACACAAAACTCTAATGTATTTACATATCTAACCCTTAAACATTAATATGAAATGAAAAATAATCCATACCACATGACATCTGCCCACCAATGTAATCCGAATGAATATAGAGAAAACTCACACCATGAATGAAAAACAGAGAGGAAAAAGGCTTTCGTACAAGTTACAGCCTCGAAAAAATATAATATAATATTTTATAAGAAAATACCATTTGCATCCCTCAAATCATCATATTTTCAAATAATGACAAAATTATGCTCCTCTCTCTAGCTTCCCTCTCTTTATTTAGAAAAAATATTACGTCTGGACAACCAATCACCTGCAGCCACGTCGCCCGCCGATGACATCTATGGTGACATGTCGGTCAATGATTGAATGTCCGGACGTGCGGTGTTCAGACGAAATATTTTCTATTTTATTTATGCTCTATTTTGATTCATGGACAAATTGTGATTCAACATTCTAAAAGGTATTAAAAAATTAGCACTACAAGAATAAATAAAAAAGTTTAATGATGCGTGCTAGAAATTCACGGCGGTAGAATAATGAATTATTGTCTTAGCGTTGCACTAGAATTAAACACACACAGATAAAAAAAGAGAGGTAAGCAGAAGGAGACACATCAACTTTTTGCATGGAAAATTCTTGAAAAGGGAACAACCACGAGATCTAGCTTAGTTGAAATAATTCACTATGAATGATGAGGACACATGTTCATTCTTCCCCTAAATTAGGAAGATAGAATTACGAAGTTATATAACTATAATCTGATTACAGTTCTTAGTGACAGCAGGTTACAAAAGTCATTGTTGATTGTTGTGGAGGTAGTAGTTTGCCATGAGTGTTGTAGATGGTTGCTCCAGAAGCGTTGATTGGTCAGAGAAACTATAATAAACAGTTGCGAGGACTGTGGACCGCATATGACGTAATGACGAGTATGAATGACGTCCGTAGACCGTGGGGGCCGGAGTCGGGAGTTGCACGAGCTGTGAACCACATAAGCCATAAGGGCAAGTATGAATGATATCCGTAGGTCGCGGAGTCAGAGTTGGAAGCTGCATGAACTGATGACCCCCCAGGATGTTGGGGGCGAGTGTGAATGACATCAGTAGGCCACAGGGGCCGGAGTCCGGAGCTGTAGATCTGTGGATTGCGTAAGTCGAAGGGTCGAGTATGAATGAAGTCCGTAGGCCGCAGGGGCCGGAGTCATGAGCTACATGAGATGCGAACCACGTAGGTCTTAGGGGCGAGTATGAATGACGTCCGTAGGCCGCTGGGGTCGGAGTCGGGAGCTGCACTAATTAATGACCACGTTGGTCTTTGTTGGCACATGGACTGTAGTGATGAGCTCTTATCACATATACGAGAAAGTGTTACTAGATTTTCCAAGTTATAACATTGACTGAAGACGTTTGGTTAATGGTGGTCGAATATGGTCAACAATGGTTGACGACGGTGGGGGGTGATCAATGACGGTCGGAGGTGGTCGACGACAGTCGGCGGTGATCGACGTCGGTCAGTTGTGATGCTTAGCTGCAACTCCTCCTCAAGGCCTTAACTCTCTCTAGGCTTCAGCTCCCCCCTCATGAGAGAGATATGGGTCTATTTATAGTTTTTTAGATTTCATTAATGCAGAAATATGAATCATTTTGATCGGACGATCCAGAGAGCTTCTCCGAATCAAACGACGTTTAATGGTGGGACGTTGTGGCAACGCGTTGCGGCGGGGCGTCTCAGCGATGCGTTGAGTTCAAGACTATCATCCATGATCATGATTTTCCAAAAAGAAGAAAGTCATCATGTATAGCGGTACAAAGTTGCAGGGCAGATTTGCGGTGTCGAGTTACGGTGCAGAGTTGCGGTGCTAGGTTACGGTGCATAGTAAAGTCGTCCCGCCCTGCGTAGCAGAAAAGCAACAAAATTTTATTTCTTGTTGCAGTGAAGAGGAAAGTCGCTCTCGTCCTGCATAGCAGACAAACAACGAGATCTTCTTTCTTGTTTATGCCGCGCTTTTCAGAGGAGATGAAGAAATGTTGTAGCTTTCATGTTGCGCTTTGAGGAGAAGGATTTTATGCTTATGTGACGGCAGAAGACGGCAGGTATCAGTCGGCGGAGTGCGGGGGCAGCTGGGGGAGCCTCACACATGTAATTCTCCCAAAAAA